GTGATAGGCGTTATTACCCATTTCTGGGTACCATTCAAGGCGTTGGTTGTCAATCAGTTAGGAAAAAAATCGCTCCCAATTTGGAGCTCACAGAAAAATCGCTCTAGATGCGGAGCTAATACTGAGGGTGTAGAGCTTCCAATGAAAAAGGAGAACCCAAAGTGTTATTTACGCATAGCAAATTTTTCACAGGAAAGAGAAGCGCCCGGCGTAGCCGGGCGAACCCATAAGAAGGAGGGAAGCCCGGCGTTAGCCGGGCGGCCCGACTGGTATATATATATATATCGGTGCGTGCGTTTGACCGGAAATCCATAACTCCTCTTCCTGGGGACCTAGAGGGTTCAAATTTGGTAGGAGTACGGAGAACAGGATGGGAATACTCATGGCAGGCAGTAGGACCAGACTTCGCCTAAAGGAGGCGGGTCATGCGGGATAGAAATTTTGGACCGCAAACTCATTACTTTTGATGACGAGGATCTAGAGCGTTGAAACTTGGTAGGAGTACAGGAGGCGGGATGTGAACATTTATGGCAGGTGGAATGGCCAGACTCCGCTCACAAGGGGAGGAATTTGCGCGGAGCAAATTTTTGACCGGAAACTCGTAACTTCTGTTTCAATGGATTTGAATAGTTAACGGTGGAACCTCGGCATTCTGCTAAATGATGTAGGAGGATATGAGGGATCGTAGGTACTCGGTGACAGGAGCCGATGACAACTCATAAGAGAAGATAAAGGGCTTAAGAGAGCAAGGGCCACCTACCGAACAAAATCCTAACGCATTCTGTATCTACGATGCTGCTTTGATTGTTCAAGAATGTTTCATTCAATAAGACGGAATGGTAGAGTAGGGTGCCGAAATTGAGTGGTGAGTGCAGTGACAGGGACCCATTAGTGGCACTAGGATGAGCAGATGAGAATTTTGTTCATTTCTTGCTACTAGCTTATGACCGCTACCCTCCAAGGTTTGTGACCCAATGAAGGATCCTCATTGTTCGATACATTTGTGCCGAACTCAACCGACCTCCACTTATCTGGAACTCTCAACTAATGATATCACTGTAAAGAAAAAGGTTCATTGGTAACACCTGATAATGGTTTTATCATCACACAAAACATTTGTGAGTACCGCCCGAGGCTTTGGTTGCCTGACAAATGAATCTTTATTAAAGGCGTGTGCACCGACCTACACTGAATACCAACCATTTGCACTGCTGTGTTAGTCCTGTGTCGAACTTCGTGTACAGGAAAATATTATTTGTTTCAAAGAAGGAGTGAGGGTTAACCAATTACTAAAACTTTGCCGAAGGAGGGAAGCCCGACAGTAGCCGAGCGAACCGACCGGTGAAAAATAAAATGCAGTTATGTTGAATGACTTACATGACACATCTTCCTGCAGTCCACGACAGTTATTCAACTCTTGATTGATGTCCATACCCGTCTGTGGATCGAAGCGATACGGGCCACTGAAAAACTAAACATATACTGTCGCGGTTGCTCAAGCGATGTTCTCCAGATCAATTTGAAGAGATGAACCTTTTCTATTTGAACTTCATTATCTGTGAGACTAGAACCCACCTATCATACATAGGTGCCATTTTATAGATGGGGCCGGAGCGCAGATTGGCCTCGGGGAACACATCAAACTGTTTATCCTCGTCCTTACTAGTAGTGAACATATTGTCCGTCGGAAGTCCTTGCGCGAGTGTTCCAATGGGGTTCTGTTCGGAGCCGGATTCTCCTGTACCCACAATCCGATAGTTGTTTATGATTTGTTGCCGATAAGTCTCTGAGTTCACATCGTTGAGGGTGAGACCCTGCATGATGGCAGCACTGGTCTGCTCCGGGAACGGTCTCATGAGCCCGCTGACTCGGGGAAGATCGTATCGCTGTCGCTGTTCTGTTTCACGGGTCTTGTCACCATCTGGCCTCACTCCATACTGTGGAGGAACAGATATTTGTACGTCCAACATGCCCATACTTTCTTGGTACATCGGCAGTCTGTCAATGTCAAGCGCATAGCTTTCGCGGACGCGGATTCCGATTTGCGCTTCCTCCAGCACGACGTAGATCTCCGGTTGGCCGCGCTCCACATTATTCACATAGACGAGAACACCTGAATAAAAAATGATTGTGGAAGATAGAGCTTCGCTGCGAAGATCTAGATTCATCTAGTACAGCCAGCAGAGATAAGAACTCATTTCAGTTCTAGGTGAATATTCAAAACCTATAGAGGTCCAGAAACGTTTCAACCGGTTACAGTGCCTAGTAATGAGAAAAAATAGGGGAACGGAAGTGGCCCTCAACCCACTCATCACACCCAATTCCTTGCCATTCTACGTGTACAGACGTCGGCATCTCTCTTTTACTAATCATATCTAATTATTCTTATCGTGCACGATATTATTAAATGACAACCAGATAGTGTTTTATGAGAATATACCTATTTCCTTTTTCTACCTCACTGAACAAATCATATAATACTGCATAATTTTAGCTTATTGGTACATTCATCCGTAGCAAAACCAAAAAAAAAACCGTTAAATCTTTGTAGCCGAATGGTGTCGAAGTATCGTAAAATGTTCCCAACGATGATATCGGTACGATAACGGAAACGTCGTGTGTCCTTCCTAGCCATGACATAAACGCGATCACTACCGCTTGCCTCTAGGACCACTCCTGAAATGGTGACCCTTCTAAAGATTGGATAGGCTTTCGTTCAATTCCAAATTATAATGAGCAACATGACTCAGCCACTGACTATCCTTTTAATTCATTCTCCCAGACGCGTTCCCTTCACTTTCTCACTTTACTGTATCCGTGATATCCCTCCTACCGATACTCATTTCATTTCATTTCGAAGACGACGTGTAATCGTGTCGATCACAACACCCTTCATAGTGCAGGCAAACACCTCTCCCTTTTATAAAGCAGTAACTTGGTGTGTCGGTTTGTAAGATTGTCGATTTGTCGGTCTGTCGTTCTGCACGTTCGCAAACTTTAATATCACGATAAAGATAGTGATGTGGAAAACTCAACTCCATTCTACATTTCTTTCTTATATTAAAGCTTATAAAGCAGTAACTTGGAGGGTAAATTGATGGAGTAGAGTGAGTACTGCGTAATGAAGTGGGTACTTCAAAACTGTGATTCCGATCTGCACTGCCATCGTGTTATGTATGTCTTTAAAAAAATCTGAGGTGATAATGTAGTTGGTAGACCTCCGCTTTTTTCAACACTGAGCGCTATATCGCAGTTAAGGAGGTTAGCCCATGATTTTGCTCATTAACGTTTCTCAACCGAAAAGATACAGTTTTGGATCAGAGCTCGAGGAGGAAAGGGGTACCGAGGTGAGTGAGTCAATTGAATATTAACCCATACCCCATCCTAGCTTTCTGCACGAAGTAATCATATCATCTCCACCTCGCCGCTCCTCCCTCATGAGGCTAAGCTTGAAACCATACTCTTTCGCCTACAACCTTTTCTAAGTACAGGTGAGGCCGGGCGAGCCGACTAAACTAGACTTTATGATAAAACATCCAGATATCAGCACTCCAGGAGTAAATTTTCTAACCTGTGATAACAGTGGCGTTTGTAGGTTGCACCAACTCTGCCTGTGAGATATATCGCCCGAGTAAGCCAAAGTCCACCTAGAAAACCACAAGGTAGTTAAAGGAGGTTGACATGCAAAGAACAAGAACAACTGTACAGCACCTGTAACGAGCATTCTCCTGCCGAGGACGGGGAACGCTGTTTACTAAACAGGGCGAATGCAAGTGCAAATGCACGTAAAGCATGACTACTATACAGTAACTAGTGCCCGATCTAGGAAAGCACGCCGATCAGAGCTGAGATACACTCAGACCCGGGACGCGACTGCACGTCTCCTATTTGCCCAAACAGTCTGTTTACTATAGAACACTTTACTCCATCATGATTTGATATGACATCCAAGTAATCACCTTTCTGTTGGGATAGCGCTCCATGCGGACTTGTACACGAACTTCTGGCGATCGAGTAGTTTTCGGAATGTAGAGAAAGTTGTATACTCCAGGCTCGTTGAAAATGAACTTATCGTTGTCGATTGTGTTGAAAACGCCAGCGCCGGACACCTGCCCTGAAACAGCAGCATTTGGCATTCAACAATTTTCAATAGCAGTACTTTGAGTAAGCTCTCCAGAAAGACGGAAAAAAAGCACCTAGATCTTGCAAAAGGGAAACATAAAAGGATAAAGACTAAAATTTTTCGGTGTTCATCAATCTGTCTGAGGAATGCGAACTGCACTTCTCAGACAGATTGATCAACACCGAAAACTGCACAATCGTAGTAGCGATGTGAATACGTATGTTGCCTTTACAATGAATTACGGTCCAGCCGATGTACAAGTTAGCGCCTTTATCCTCGCAGACGAATCTGATACCAACTAACCGACCACGGAGGGATGGAAGGCTTGACTGGCTAGGCGGGGACCGGTCCGTGATTCGAACCCTTGACCATGCGTGTGTGATAGTGCGCCACTTGTCACTACACCACTTCCGAACTTTCCGAACTGCACACAAGAGTGAAAGAATTTAATTATACCGGTTGCAGGGGGCTGGTACTCTTGGCAAGCTGACGATGGTCGTCTCCAGTAGAACATTTGGCACCGGAAATCGGCGAATTTACAGCACAGAAAGTATGGCATGTAGTCGTTGTGGAATACTGACAAACCGGGAACCTAAATGACTAGAAGATCACTAAAAAATTCATTCAGTAAGAAATGAACCGCTTCAAGCCGCGAAGCGCAGCGTTAGCGAAAGATCTGTTCCCCGACAATTATTTAGCTACCCCTCCAACTTGCTGAATGTTCATTATGCCTTAAGAATAGAATGTTCTGCTATTCAGTAGATGCAACATGCGAAGATAAGATAACTAACAAACTGAAAAGAACTTTGACCTCAAACTGCCCCATATATGGAGGTGTACCGAACTCGTAGGCTCTCAGCGGATAACCAGGATTGTAGAAGTACTCCTTTTGCGTCTTGATAACTGGCTGATAAGGTGTCTGCATGAGAAAGCCGGCCTCATCATAACAGCAAACTTGACCATAGTGGGTCATGAATCGCCTATAATTGCTTTAGTTCATGTGCTGGGTCCATAACAAGCGGATCTGACTCATCTAAAAAGACATCCATCAGTCATGAGAAGCTTTTCAAATAATGTTTATTGCGATGGCGAAAAAACAGACCCCCAGTTGACTTCCTTTATATTTTACAAACCTCTGAATATTCAATAGGGAAGTTCAAAGGCTTGAAGTTGTAATCGTCTGTATTCGTGAAAACACTCAGTAATCCTATGGTGTACATCAGTCAAGAGCACCCTTTACAAACCGTCACGTGTAGAGAAATAATGGAGCACTCCTTCCGAGTGTAACACTATGAAAAAGAGCTGCAAATTTGGAATGAGCATGAAGAAAACGATATGGACATTATGCAAAGTATAAGAAGATATGATAAAGTTTCTTCATTTTTGTGATTGTCTCCCCATCTCAATAGAAACATCTTTCATTCCGCTACCCATTCGAGAGATCAGAACAATCAGCACATCGTATCCATTTCTGGAAGTGTGAAAATTTTTAAGTAGGCTGATCACAGGAAATGAGCTCTTTGATCTGGTCGCCGTATTTGGAAGGAATTTTGCTAAAGAGGCGGAAGGATCTTCGAGAGTCCAGGAAAAAGGTAGTTATATGACTGGAACGTATTGACTATTAAATTGACTATACGAATTTGATAGGGAATACAACTTCACGAAATCTTGAAGTCACAGCAGATGTCAACGTTTTGTCCGTGACCAAGACCAGTGAACGTTTCGTTGTAATAAGAATCCGGAAGTTCTTAAAGGCATAGCTCATGATGATAGTGGTTTCTTAGATTTTCCTCGAGGATTATCCAGCGGCCCCAAGGGTAACAGAAAAGACGCTGTCGGTCCCAAAAGACCAAGAACTAGGGCATAATAGGAGCCCCATTGCCGAATCGGTCGGGTGCCGCGCCCATCGACAGATGTTATGTCAGAAGAGTGTAGAGGCGATACAGGTTATGCAATATTCGTGCTAGGACCCACTCGTTCAGCGTCATCTGTTCGCCGAGTGGTGAGGTGATACTTTACTCCTAATATGTTATTCTTTGTTGTTCTTTTTGCTCCTGCAGTCATAAAGCGAATTTTCTGCATGCTTAGTTGCAGCAGAATATATACAACGTAGAAAAATAATAGATGAAGATGAAATCCGATTCTTCAGCGGCAATATAGTTAATCGAGGACACACACACACATTGCAAGGAGCTTTTTTATAAGCATCCCTTCCACGCCACTTTTTCTGCCTGAAACTCGTCCGACCGCGTTTAAGGCAGAAAAAGTGGCGTCGAAGGGATGATCTCTCTTCGGTTTCATATTGTTTGAACCTTTGTTTTCACTTGAATACGCCTACTCTCGCACTCTTTTCAACTTATTTGCACTATTCTGGCCGATCACCTTCGTTATTCGTCGAAAACCGGATACCTGGAAATTATCGTGAACTGTGCCTTTAAAGCACCACTGAAAGATTAACCCAACACACTGGTTTTCCTACTCTATCATTTCCAAAAACAACTCCCAATTATTGCCTGCTTTTCAATGGTCAACAGCAGCAACTTGACTCGTTCCTTTAGGGTACGGTATCTTTTCCCGAACAGTGCGTCGCGCTTGCCGCACCCGCCGCGTATCACGGAAATACGGTGGGAGATTGGAGCGCGCGATTTGTGAGCTAGGGAGTCCCTTAATTATCTACATTTGCTGGTCACTTTCTTCAACCCCAATGCCTTCTTAAGTTGATAATAGAGAAGTCATTCCAAACAACCAAGTCTAATAAGTATGAAAACAAAAAGAAACAGGAAGAAAAATCAAAACCAATTAAAAAGAAGGCAGCCAACAAAAACTGTGGTGTCCTATCGATTGGCCGGGAGGCGGACTGAGTACGGTAATTGCATTTTGGAGCTGTGAGACAACTAAGAAAGATTTGTCGCGTGATGCAAAGTGAATGTGGAAAAAGGAGAAATTTCGCCACCCGTTCTTCTTTTGTCGGGACTCGATTATTGCGCTGAAACGTTTCACATGCATGGTCAAGGGTTGGGATCCCGGATCGATATCCGCTCAGCCCAACCAATCCTTCCAATCCTCCGCGGTCGGCTAACTGGTGCCGGACTTGCCTAGAACGATGAAGGCACTGAATTTTTCATCTGCTGGCCACCGCACATCAATGCTTAGACCACATAAGCATTCAATCGCCACTACGATGTCTAATGAAGGTCAAAACGAGGGCGCATCCTTCAGACGGGACTGATCAACTCTCAAAGACTTCAACTTTTTATCCTTTATCGGCTACTATCATAACGAGAAGTTGTTGAATTTTCGCCACTGATAATCAAAATCGGAGGTCACATGAATTTTCGCCACTGATAATCAAAATCGGAGGAACAAACACAAGGACGGCTGCTAGCGCATTGGTCGGACTCCTTTGTGAAACAATGCTGCGCCTCGTGTCCCTGAAGGGACCACTGGACCACTCTGGCTCGCGACATGGACGAATGGGGACGTGACTGGCGCTCGCCTTGAAATCGACAGGTGCAGAAAGGAATAATCTAAGTAGTGCTCCAAGATCACTACTTCTTGTTTGAAGCTCATAATCATTCAATCGAGTACATGATTATGAACGAACGTAGAACGCTCAGGTCACTATCACTACTCACACAAATCTGGTTTCTCGAATCTTAGTTCTCGACGATAAAACCGAAGACAGTATTGGGATGAAAAACGGTGAACTGAGTCTGAGCCATATCCATATCCTTCCAGCCTCGCCATATTGATTGTAGTGACTAGCGACTCTCACTTGAAAGCACAGTTCACGAAAATTTTGAAATACCCGTTTTTGTTCGAAAAGGGGAAGAAGAGATTGGGAATAGTCCACCGGTAGTGAAGAAAGCGAAAGAGTTCGCCGGTTTCGATAAAAATATGGCTCCTCAAAAGAAGGGGAAATAGAGGTTGGACGAGATTGCCATGACGAAAATAACATGGAAGGGGTATTCGGACGAGATTGCAGTTATTGCAATTGCAAAAAGAGCTGACTACATCAAGCCAGAACTATACAGAACTCTCTCTCACTGTCGCTATGGCTCATGACAAGTTGTTTGATCTTCCTGCATCGGTTCCCTTGTGATCGGTGCAGCTTCTACAATGCCAGTGAAACTCGTCCGAGGATACACACGGGTCAATCTTTGAGCCTTTATAATTCCCTAACTAGACCGTTTCCCGACCTAATACAGTGTGTTTCAAAAGTATGTGCACACCCAACATTTGTTTTTTTGGGGATACCATTGCTTTCTGTAACCTGTGACCTTTACCATTGAATTCCTTGTGTGCTATAACCTTCGGACACTCTCTTTGAGAAAACATCGTAGCTGCTAACATAAATTTTTATTAAAGAACAAATTTTCCTTTGTTTCAAAAGTATGTGCACACTTAGCAAAAAACAAAAATATAACCGAGATCAGAAATCAATAGGGCCCCCTGAAGTTCTGTAAAGGTTATCGGCTAAGAGAAATCGTTCGATAATGGTTTCGTTACGGTAGGTTCTTTAGTTACCTTTGAAATAAAAAATTTTGAGTGTGCACGTACTTTTGGAACGGAACTGGGCCGCTCTTCTTCATACACTGCTAGATTCATTCGAGACCCTGGCAGCTATCGCTCACAACCTATTCCTGGCCGACCACGTATTTTGACCGCTCAGGACAACAGGAGAATAGCCCATCTTGTGGCGAGCACTTCTTTGTCTGTGAGTCAGGTCCGAGCTCAGATGAGTTTATCAGTCTCGCGTACGACCTTTGGCGCTCTATCGGCTCTGATGGGTATATCACACGAGAGACGATGAAAAAGGCTTCTCGTCTCAGTACTCGTCACAAGCTGACAAGGCTGGAGTTTACTCGCCCAGATCATCAAAGAGCCTCCTCCGAAATTCCTTCTCGAAAACAAGAGTGGCTTTCGACGAAGGCCCCCATAGTAATGATGAAATCCATCCGGCTCCTCGACATTGTACTTCTTTTCGTCAGAGAAGATCACCTAAGAACAAAATGGGTACAAAACGTTGTTTGTTCTAAAAGTAGGGAAATCCGGAAAATTCTTGAACAACCGTACCTTGTCCCATGATGTTGCCATGCTCCCACGAGCAAACTCCAGCCTTGACAGCTTGTGACAAAGCACAAAGCAGACAAAGAAGTACTCTCTACAAGATGGGCTATTCTCCTGTCGTCCCGAGCAGTCAAAATACGTGGACGGCCAGAGATAGGTTGTGNGCGATAGCTGCTAGGGTCTTGAATGAATCTAGCTATGCATGAAAAAGAGCGGCCCAGTTGCCGTTCCAAAGGCAAGTGCACACTCAAAATTTTTCATTTCCAAGGTAACTAAAGAAACTACCGTAACGAAACCATTCTCAAACGATTCCGCGTAGTCGATAACCTCTACAGAAATTTAGGAGGCCTTAATGATTTCTGACCTCGGTTATATGTTTGTTTTTTGCTAAGTGTGCACATACTTTTGAAACAAAGAAAAAATTTTCCTTCAATAAAAAATTATGTTATCAGCTGCGATGTTTTCTCAGAGAAAGTGTTCGTAGATTATAGCACATAAGGAATTGAATGGTAAAGGTCACAGGTTATACAAAGCAATGGTATCCCCAAAAAACCAAAATGTTTGGTGTGCACATACTTTTGAAACACACTGTAGTGCCAGATATGGTAAACGCGATGCCTCAAATTCATCCCGTGGGGGGAACCTCAGAAACCATTTTATCGTTAACTGTGCCTTTAAAATCAGAACACGTGTGGAGAGTGTGCGGATGCGGTTAGTATCATGCACAATGGCTCAACCAAAGGAAGGCAATTCAGGCCTTTCTGCAAATGACTAATTGTAAGACCCTTGTACGCTCTAGACAGTCTGGTTAGCTACCCTGAGTTTACCCAACCCACACGTCAGAGTCGCCCAGCAAGCTACTCGGGGATGTGCCAAAAACAATATAGATCGGCCTCATCCGCTTGACCTGAGGAAGCCCCCAATAATGCAGCGGTTGGTAGGACTGCTCAGGGAAGGAAGCAAAAATTTCAGGAGCAAAAAAAGTCTGCCCAAAAAGAAAAGGAGTAAAGTGGTGATCTGTGATTTCAATGCTCAAACGGTTACATCGAAGCGTGTCCCGAAGAGTTGATGATGCAGGCTAGAAAGACCAAGTACGTAGCCATCAGAATGACTGAGACGAGAAGACATCACCCGATGCAAGCTGTTCTCGAGACTAGAGAAGAAATGTCTCTTGAGCAGAGGCGTCGGCAGTGGAATGAAGGTCCTCGTCAAAACACATTTGGCTTGGCAACCCAAATCGCACGCTCACGAGAAAGAACATTTGGCTCAACCCCAGCTCTAACAATCAGCGTTTTATATGGATACGGAGAGGCTCTACGAGAAACACCATAAATTCTTTCAGGTCATCATCGCAAATTTCAACGCCAAGATTAGCAACAGAAGAACGGTTGAAGAGCTACATATTGGGACTAGCTGAACCGAAGAGCTACATATTGGGACTAGCTGAACCAATGGAATTAGCAGATTGGGAGACTGTTCGAGTATATCATATNGACCCACACCATCTATGGTACTCGCAATTCTAAAAGGCCCACCGTCTGCGAGGGACTTCGAGTTACTTGGTCAAGTTCCATAACAAAAAACATAACATCATTCAAATAATCTCGAATGGAGGTATCGCCGGACTGGTGCCATTGTTTTTCCGAAGTTCTACAGGATTCAGGAAATGATGCCTCGAGATCATCAACTGGGACATTTTCGCTTTCCTGCGAGTTGCTGGGAAGATTCCGTCATAAACAACAACAATGAGGAATATAACCGGCTAGTCGAACATTTTCACGATGGCGCGAAGAAAGCAGACAGTCTACAAATAGCCATGGGACGACTCTCTTTGAAGGTTTTCAGCTAATGACCAGCGTGGAATCGCACGATCTACAGGCAATCATCAGCAAATACTCGAACTTGCAAAGCTATGCAGAGAAGCAATAAAGGAAGTTCTGGAAGTGAGAAGAGCAGCAGTTATGGACGAAGCCTCCTAGGCAGGAAAGAGCATTCGCAAAGCCTGGTGGAGCTTCGCCAATTACAAGAACGAAATGACTTCCTCCTGTCATCCTAACGGGACAGTTAATGCATCTCTATTCGAATCTCTCCGACAACCACTTCTACTCGTCTGACTACCATCTCAAGCAAAGCTAATCTGTCCTCCCTTCAGTTCGGATTAAGCCGAAATAACTTGAGAGCTTTCCATCAATTATCGTCAAAACATTGGCTAGGTTCTTCACGCCGTATAGGAAAAAAACCTATCTGGAATCGTAGTTGGAGCACCTAAGCGTGCACCAAATAAGCGTGATTTGAAGACTGACTTGAGAAGGAAGGTGATCACTACTCACATCATCTCCACCTTGCGAACGACATCGTGCTTTTAGCACTTAACGTAGATTAGCAGAAACGAGAGCTGCCAGAAGTTGACGGCGCTTGTGGAAAGATCTGACTGAATTCAGAGTAGGTGATGTTCTTGGAAAATTATTAGTTCCTGATGCACCCTTTACGCTAATTAGAACTATCCTACTCACAGCAGCGCTCAAAAGTCTTCGGTGAAATGCTTCTTCAGTCATACCTTTCAGTCGGAACTCCTTTCCTGCTGGATCTAATCACGCGAAATTTCGATATGTGTAGAATGGGCGTATCGTGAATATTTACCACTATTAACCTGCAGTCTGATCATGTTCCAGATATCGCAAAGGGCTTGGACTCGAAACCGACTAGAAATACTAATGCTCTTCCTTATAAATTCTTTCCTTTTCGTCATGTCTAAAGTGTACGAGCGCTAATGCCGAACACAGTGGAGAACAAAAACGCACATAAGGTGCGAATGACTGCAGACGTCACTAACTTTGCTTTTAGCGAAAACTGCTGCTGCATAAACATCTCATTGGCATCTTTCATAGTCCACGACCGGTCGCGCGACCAGTCGCGCGATCGATCGCGCGACCGGTCCCTAGCGACTGGCGACCAGTCGNCCGGTCGCTAGCGACTGGTCGCTCGACTGGTCACTTGACTGATCGCGCCACTGGTCGCTCGATCGGTCGAGGAGGCCGCGCTAGTTATGGGTGCCGCCGTGGACGGTCCCGCGCGATCAGTCAAGTGACCAGTCGAACGACCAGTCGCTAGAGACTGGTCGCGCGACTGGTCGCCAGTCGCTAGGGACCGGTCGCGCGATCGATCGCGCGACTGGTCGCGCGACCGGTCGTGGACTATGAAAGATGCCATTCTGATTATGCGAGTACTGCTGCTTTACAATCAAATAGAGTTGGATAGTGTGAAATATGCCTTAGTTAAACATAACAAAATTCTACGCAATTTGCTCCACTAAGAAAAAAGTTATGAACGAAAAAGCGTAAAAGCGTTTGACCGAACACTTTTGAGCGCTGCTATATAATCGGCTAGGTGTGTCTGTTGGTGTGTTTGTATGTGTGTGTCTGTGTGTGTGCTTGTGTGTGTATATGTGTGTATGTGTGTGTGTGTCTGACCGTTAAATCATAACTTCTGTCCCCGTGGACCTGGAGCGTTCGAATTCGGTAGGAGTACAGGCGGCAGGATGGGAACACTTTCAGTGGTTTCAATTCGCAAGTACTGTTTCCGTTGCACCTAGAGTTTCCAAATTTGGTAGGTGTACAGGAGGCAAGATGGAACACTTACGGTGGTTGCTAGACTGGGCCCCGTCCACAGTGGGCGGGGTTTGTGCTGAAACTCACGGCACCTGTTTCTGTGCACCCAGAGCATTCGAATTTGGTAAGAGTACAGGCTGCTGGATGGAAACCGTTATGTTAGGAGGCAGAACCGGACTCCTCCCATTTTCTGTGAAAATTCGTAACTACTTCACCGTGCATCTAACGTGTTCAAACTCATTGGGCGTTTAGATGACAGGATTGGCAGGTGGGAACACTAATGGTAGGTGACAATTCTCGACTCGGGGCGGGACGTGCTTGAAAATTGGCAGTTTGGACTAGGGGCATTTAAATTTGCTAGGAGTAAAGACGGCAGTATGGGAATGCTGATGGGTGGTGGCATTCTCGACAGAAGGCGGGACACACGCGAAAATTGTTAATTTCGACTTGGGGCGTTCAAATTTGGAACGAGTGCAGGCGGCAGATTTGAAACACCGATGGTAGGTGGTGGAAGGTGGCTAAGCAGTCAAGTTGGAAGAAGAAGGAATGGACCCAAGGCATGAAATGTGTCGGTGTATGTGTTTCGCTAGGAAACAGTGGCTCCTGTTTCCTTCGACCAGATTTTTGAAACTTGGGAGAGTTCTCGACTCTGGGCGAGATCAACTTCAACACAAGAAGGAGGAGAGCCCGTCGTTAGCCGGGCGATGCGATTATTACAAAATGCTCTAGCCATGTGTATCTAAGTCGGAAGCTAAGGTGATGAACGACCTAGCTCCGGAGCTGAGCAGAAGGAAACGCGCGCGGGAGCATCAAAAGATCGAGGGAGTTGTGAAAAAGACAAAGTGCATACGGCTTCGCGCTCACCTTTTCGACACTGCTGCCCTTCGTGCTTCGACCTCTCGGAGACTTGGACTCTACGAAAGCAGGATCAACCTGCTGTCAGCGTCACAACGCGCTGTAGAAAGAACGATGCTCGGAACCTCCCTATACATGCCAGTGCAGAAGAGAATCCGGAGTTCCGAGCTCCGCCAACGAACGAAGATTAGGAACACAGTTGCTTACGCCAAGAAATCGAGGATCAGGTAGGCCGGACACGTTATGCAGTGTCCGGCCTAACTGACCGTTGGACCAAGGTGTTTACTGACTGGACCCATCCCTCTGATGGCGGACCAACACATGTCAGACTTCTTCATGAAAGCTCTTGTTTAAAGCAGTGCTGTTTCTTGAGCATAACTGATCTACTGGACCACTCCGGCGAGACGGCACAAATGAAGCTTTACTGGCGCCCTCTCGAAAAAATGGATGACCAATGGAACGACACGTGATAGAGTGGAATGATAAAAAGCTGTATGAATTTGAGAAATCCATGAAGGGGCTAACGAGTCCAAAGTAGTCTAGCCCTTTGACGACAGCGCGCCTTTTTGCGTGTCTGGCGCGCGGGACAGACGCATTTCGAAGCTTTCCGCTTCCGCGACTCACCGTTGAGCCGCGCTGTCCCACGGGTTACACATTTTTCTACAGTGAATATTTTTTGCTTTTTTATGCGTTCTTTTTATGATTCAGTTTGAAATAGGTGTAAATTGGGTAATTATGAGTTTTTAACTTCAGTTGAGTTTGATTTTATGCAAAATATAGCTTTGAGAGTCGAAATTTATCAGCCTGCACTGGACGATTTAGAAGGTGACTTTGAAAGGTTATTGGCCGAACCCGACGAGAATAAAATTGAAAAATAAAACTTTCCAAGCTATGTTTTGAACGTGTACATATGGGGGCTACGATTTACTCAAGATTCAGATTCAAGATTTACATCGGTAGTCAGCCCACGAGCAAGGATTCAGCAGTGTGTTTGCTGTGGTCATGACAAATGGACGGACTTTTGAATCAAGGATACATCTCTATACCGATATCTAGTGAATGACTTATTAAAACTTAGCACCCTTTTTCTGACACTCGAAAATGCGAAAAGGAATACTAATTTAAGTTGAAGATAGGCAGTTAAAAAGAGGGCAACTTTTCGAGAAATTTGTTACAAACAACTAACTCGAGCTTATCGAAGTGTTTACGCTCCCATAAGACCAGTCCATCCTAGGGGCAGTAGATGTGGAAGTCATTTTTACATTCACTGTTTTCAAAAATGCAGAAAAAGTGTGATTTCCAGGGAGAGAATGGACTTTATTAGTAAATAGCAATGTTTTTCTTGGCCCACTTTGTGTATAGTGTTATTTGATGATTGCAAACCCATTGAATACAAAAAACTCGAAGTAAAACTAATAATAGAGAAAAACAACCAATGAGAAGGGTGCGGTCCACCGTTGAGCCGCGCTGTCCCACGTGCCCAAAAAACCGTGGCTCACCGTTGAGCCGCGCTGTCGTCAAAGGGCTAGATAGGGCTCAGTAATATTACAAAACCGGTCTTGCCTTTCATGGTCGTCCAAAACTCCCAAGCAAAGAGCTGTTCAGCGGGTTGATCGAGTTAATGTTCATAAAAGCCTTATACTCAGAAACCTGAAGTTTCTCGTTTTCTCTGCCACCGACAAACTTCCCCCAGTGAAGAAGGTACACAAAATTTTTACAATCTGTGCCTCTGAAGACGAAGGAGGAAATGCGCTGAAACTTGGGTTTTTTTTTNTTTTTTTTTCAATTAAATGCATGCATGCATTGAATGCTCTAATCGAATGGACGAAGGTGGTTAGTTATAGAGATCAGGACGGAATTCTGCGGTTGATGAAGAAGCCATTATGTGCAAGTTACCAAAGTTACAGGATACTGTTTCGATGAAATGGTGCAGTCACACAAACCTGGGCATGGTGGGGCCGGAAATCTTGACACTTAAAGCTCCATAATACGGGCCAATGTGCCTAATTGTTCGGAATCTTTCCAAACCCTCATTCTAGACTCACACTTTTTAGAGCATTGTCAAAATGAAAAATGAGTCCTTTCAAAAAACAACTAAATATGAAGAGTTCTACGAAAAGAGACTCGTCAAATTAGGATCGAATCTTCCTGAGCAGAGGTAATAAAGTGTCCCTCGTAATGTCCCTGTTGGGGAATGAGAGGTAAAAACGTACGAGGTATCCATATTGTCGAAGGTATTTCCCTTGCCAGCGTATGAGCCGTAGATGTTTTGAGCAGACATGTAGCAATTCTTTGAGCCAATCACGGTCGTGCATGTGATATCACGGAATGTCTACAATCCTTAGATGAGTCCATATTGTCTCACTGCTGAACTCTCCCCTCCGTTGCAGTTGGAGAGCCCAACGATACCTGTGAGCAACGTGGATGAGGCATGAAGCGTCCGAGATCCAGTCGGGCTTGTGTCTCAATGCACGGACAACTAGAATTCGTTTCAGTGTCCCGTATAAAGTTGAACAAAGCTCCATCTTCGTCGAACCTGAGCAGAGTACTTGAATTTTAAGGTATCGCCGCATTCTGCAAAAACGATTTCCCGATTATTAACACTGATAAACGAGAAGAAGCATCTCAGGAAAGCCTACCTACTATAAATTTCGAAAGCAAATTGAAATTCTAAAATTTCGTACCAGTCGTGACACATCTCCTTCGACTTTTGAGAGACAAATTCTGTCCTTTCGTCTCGTTCCTGTTGTGAGAAAGAAGTCTGACCAAAGCGGTTGTCCTCGGGAGACCAAAGCCAATGCAGTGAAATCGGGGCAGTCACTAGTCTGTAATAAAGAATACCCTAAGAAATTCGATGGAAGAATTACAGGTTAGCCCTTGATTAGTCAAAACTGAGCAAGGAATACAGCAAAAGTAGACATGAATGGAATAGGAGCACTTAAAACAGTGAGCCGGTAAAGCGATAGAGCGCAGGCCGAGTAAGATTATGAATAGTTAACCTACCCTGACAGCAACTCCGTTCCATTGAGATCGTTTGGTCGCATCGGAGCCAGCTTCAGGTACCCAACACGGTATGTGTAGAGAGTGTTCCAACGCTCCCAATCGGTCAGATACCACTGTTGGACCTGGAGCAAAAAGGTGCTTAGACTAAGAAGAGTAGAGAAAGAAGTGAAATCACCTGGTTGAGATTGATAACTTCCTCTTGCGGTTTCCATCGATACTCGTAACCGTTGCGATTTGTATACGTCGCTAAGCGTGCCAGAGTGCGATGTTCGGGGCGGAATTTTTTGATCTGCATGGAGGCTTGCCTAATAGAAGTAGGATGTGATCAGCCAAAAACCATACCTCATCATCCTTGTATTCCCTGTATCCGATCACATACAGTCCAAGTTGGACTCCATAAAGCGCATCGTCAGAAATCCTCGTGCCAATTTGATTCAAATTGTTAAACAGTTCAGGATTGGTGAAATTTCGCGGATACCACGTTAAGGGCATCAGCTGAACAAAGCATTGTCAACGGGCACCAAAGCCTTCTAAGATCTGTCTAGAATGCACGGAAGGCCTGTGGATCTTGATTCTACGAATAATTCTTTCTTAAACGTAAAAGTTACCAAAACAACATAACTGACAGGAATGAAAAACTCCATCTACTTGAAAAAATAGTGATAAATAAAAAAAACGTGAGCATTCCCCAAATAGAGGCGAGGAATGCGCTAAGATCCTTCGGATTAGTTGCTCGAATATCCAAGTAACTTGAAGGTAATCACCATAATCTAAATCGCTCACTTCAACTCATCAGGGAAGGATCCCAAGTCGAAGTGGCCATTTGAAATAAGGCCTATGTATACTGCTGGACGTATTTTTGGATGCTGATTTCAAATCTGCTTTCCAAATTTGCCGAGCGTTTCTCTGAATGGAGTTATGAGGTGACTTTGGGTGAGGCTTAACATAAAAATACTAAAATAACATAGATAAACCATACTCTTCAACTGCAGCTTGGAGCAGTGGTAAGGGTGACGCTCAATGTGCGAGAAACTAGGGCTCGGGTTTGATGGAGGACTGAGTTTTTGCATTGTATAGAATTTTTCCTTAAGGACTAGAAAATACTTTCATAGTGATTTCATCACGTTCTATGAATTTTAGATGCCTCTGCTTACCTTCTCCTACCTATCTACCTGTCACCGAGTGTAGGATTCTTCCGCGCGCAAACTTTGGAGGTTCGGACGAGTAAAACGCGTACGATGAGCAATGACAATGCTAGAGTGGGTGGGATCGTGCGTAGCAGCTCTGGATTCACCCAACTGACACTGTTGATAGTGGACTCGTGGACATCGTTCAAAGTCTATAAAGCTGTTCAGTCCGCCTTACCTCCATAAAAGCAGGCGGAGGTAATGAACATCCCTGCTCGTACCACGAGGCTAATATAGCTGCTAGATGTTCATTTCTTCTTGCATTTCAGAAGGTCCAAAACTCTCAAACTTCCGCATCGCGAACTGCGGCTATATAACAGCAGTTAACAAAACATCATTTCAAAAAGTCGAGTAGCTTCCATAAGTAGTGGCTCATGACCTCAACTTTGCCTGTACACTCGAGACTCAATTCTGCGCTTACTATCGTCCGTCTACTTTCAGTCCTGCGCGATTAAATTTAGGAAATTTCTCTCCTATTTCGCCGGCTATTTAAGCTTTCACTCGAGTGATTTTAAGACGCCCACACAATTCTGCTATCCTTCTCATCAGGTAGGTGATTGCGAAGCAATGGGCTGTGATAATCTTTTTCATCCGTTGCTCCCATTGTGAAAAGCTTCTTTGTTTCAAGCAATCCGCGTTAGAGTATCGCACTTGTTCATAAATTGGCAAAAGTTATCCTACTGTGAACATAGAGCGCATGGGCATGCGGTATTGCTTTAGGTGAATAAATATCAGCAAAGGCATCAATAGTTTATAGAACGTGATAAAATCACTGTGAGAGTACTGACTTGATGTTTTGTTAACTGCTGTTTTAACGCCGCAGTGCGCGAAGCGAAAGTCTCACAAGGTTGGCGATTTGTGGGCAAAACTCCAGTCTCGGACGGGACGTGTGAGTGCTGATAAGCTATGGCATATAAGCCATTAAGAAGGCGAGGGCAAGCGGGGTCTCGGTAGTGTAAGGGATAAGAGCACGGTCCCCGGAAAGGACAAGTACGGGTTCGAGTCCCGTCCGAGACTAGAGTTTTGCCCACAAATCGCCAACCTTGTGAGACTGTGAGAGTATTTTCTGGTCTGTAAGGAAAAATTTTATATGATGCAAAAACTCAGAGCCCACAAAACCCGAACCTTAGTTTCTCGCTCATGAAGCGTCACCCTCACCACTGCTCCAAACTGCCGTAGAGTGTGGCACATCCATGTAATTTAAGTTTTCTTATGTCAAGCCTCACTCAAAATCACCTCATAACTCCATTCAGAGAAACGTTCTGCAAATTTGGAGATTCGAAATGAGCGTTTAAAAAAACGTCTAGCAGTATAGGCATTATTTTAGATGGCCACTTCTACTTGTGATCCTTCCCTGGATAGATTGCTATAACGTGTTGGACTGCTCGTCTGGAGTCCCTCTTTTTTTTTGCTTCTCTCCCTCCTTGGGTCACACTTCAAAGAAATAAAAATCCTATTCCTATGGAGAAGCTCCAACACTGTTTCAATTGATAGCCATGCTATCTATTTTTTCTATTACCGTTTGTATGTTATGTTGTTTGTATGTTTTGACTGGGTCTTGATAGTTCATGGCAGGACTAATGCAGACACATGAAGCCAGATTCAAAAAACTCATTCTCATGTAACGGAATGGTGGAGCCCTTTTCAAGAGAAATTTTCTTAAAACAACTGCATCATACCCTTTCTGGATTATGAATCTTCAATCAGCGGGGCAATTTGCATTTTTCTACGCTTACGATGATTCAAAGGTACTTTTCACGATGAAAATCGTTTCTGCCATGTCTCCCTAGCATGAAACCGTGACCTGTGGTGATAACACTAGGTCAACTGTAGAGTCGAAAGACGGACTAGGTAGTGCGCAAGGGGCCCAAAACCGGACCAGCCGACGTACATGCGCAACAGCCGACGCGTTCTCACGGCGTTTTTGGGGCTGCAGAGGTTGCGCTACTGGCACGGGGACCCACAATTTGCATGAAGGCAGCCTACTGTGGCCAGCTGTACGCAATGGAACACACATTTGAACAGCTCGTCTAGATCCTCTTCCATGCAAAATTTATCGTTACATTACGCCCAACCCCTAATTTTACCTTTTTTTTTGAAACCTTATAGTTCTAAATATGCTTATTTTTGTTGCGTTTTCCTTCCATTTTTGCACGATGCTGGGCTATTTATTCTATTTTTCGTCTAAAACTGGCCACCTCAAGATTATCGTGAATGCCATTGATTTTTTCCGTTAACCATAATGCCAAAATACTAATAGCCTCTCATCAACAATAAACACACTCACATAGCTCGGCATTGGATTCTTATACCATTCGTAGATACTTCCTATGTCCAGCCTTTGCGGGTCCAACGTAGGTGGCACTAAAAATTGCAATTTCATAAGGTGTACTTACCACCCAAAACAATGAAAACTCTTAAATAGTAAGCTATGGAAAAATAGTTAAGAACTGTAAGGCTGGGAGCAAACGTGAGTCTCACCAAAATAGATGTAGCCAACAAATGCCTTTTCGTCGTTAGCTCCTTTCGACTGAGGTTGGAAGTAGACAGTCTTTGTGCCCCAGTCGTAGATTTTCGGCAGATTACAACGAGCAATAGCCGCATTCAGCACGTGGCAGGAAGCGACCTAACACAGAAAACTTCGAAGATCCTTAGTTGAAGAAGCACTCTGCGAAAATGTTAGTGGAATGTACTTCATAAGTGTATTGAAAGAGTAAAAACTGAATCCTGGTGGTTCTAATGAATCACCTGTGACTGCGAACAGCTGTCAGTAACGAGAATAAAGGCATTCATGGTTGGGAGATAACCAGCATTCATTTCGACTCTCAATTTCTTCCCTTTTCAAGTTTTCTTACTCTCGTTTATTCGCGGAAGTTCAGCACGAAAGATTAACTTAATTCCTTGTTGGCGGTTCCGACCTATATATCTAGCAATATCTATCCCGTCTGAGGGATGCACCCCCCTCCCCCCCCCCCCCCCCCCCCCCCATCCCCTTCGGCTTGATTTCAGAATCGTAGTGGTGTATTGAACGTCCTGATTCCAAGTTGGGGTCACTGAAACTGCTCGCTTTGTGTGCCCATCGCGGACATACGAACACAGGGGACAGGCCCCCATGACAGGCCGGCCTACAAACACCCACGTCACATCCAAAGTTAATGTCACTGTATGAATCTCGAAGTAATGCTACGACGTCCGCGGGAGCCGACATGCAATCGCAAAGCCAGGCGAATATTAATTTATGTGAGGATCTCAGGTGCAGGGACGGCATTGGAGGGACAACTAGGCTAGGCCAGAAGTTCCAAAAATCCCCCAACGTACTGAGGACATGCGTTGTGACATTAAATATTGGCAAGTTAAAATAGCAGAAGCTCAGAGGCTGACTAACGGATTTCTAAGCCGTGCAGGAAAAGAGGTACTGCAGGCTACTGCAAGTCGAGAGACATTGCCTACGGATCCAAAGCCGTTCTCTATGGTGGTCTTAAACCACCAATGGCATTCGGATCATTATCCCTGAACGCTTTCATGAATCTATAGTAAGCATGGAACGCTTTGATGTCTGCTTAATAAAGATCATTGTCGTCATCAAACGCCGAAAGTATCACTTCTTCTCAGCGTATGTTTCACAGACTGGATGCTCGAGCAAATCACGTACAATCAAGTGCTGGAACCTGCTCGATGAAAAGACAGCTGAGGTGTTGTTACAAGAAGACATAGTGGTCACGTGGGCGTTAAGAAAGGCGGTCATCGCTGTCATGCTGGCTTTGGGTATGGGCCACGTAATGCTGATGGCGAGCGAATTCTTGAACATGCAGTCTCGCCCACTGCGATCACAGGCTCGTAACAGACGCGAAAACAGTAAATTATCAAACGGTCGCCACACAACATCGACCACTGATTGGTATGCTAGAGATCGCCCCGTCGAAACAGAAACTAGCCGATAGGTTCGGTCTGGTAAGAATCAACTGATGGCGAGTGAAGCAAAAGAGGTGGCCGTCGTTCCTGTGTTCTATTATCAGCAGTAATGATTGTCGATGAAATTAGAAGTGTTGCCGAAGCGATCATCCGGGTTAAGCGGCTGGAACTCGGTGGGACTAAGCCTGGACCGCGAAAGGTCGACAAGCATGGCTGTAGACGGACCATATCAGTGGTGGAGTGCATGAGCAGAAAAAGCAAATCCAGACCCTTCGTTTCAAAAAGACAGCGGATAACTGGCACCTCTGTCAAATAGCGAAGAAAGAAACAACGAGAAAGTTACTTCTACGAAGGCGGCTCTATTGCTGATCTCAACGAGAAACTCGAGTTTCGCGACGGTGAGTAGTACATTCACCGACTTGCAATGACCAGCTATCGCCAGACTGAAGATAAAGGAAAGTTCCTCTGCGAAATGACGAGGACAGCACCTCTTGACGGACCGGAAGAAATCAAAGACGTGATGGCGAGAGCACTTCGAAAGTAATTCAGCAGTCGAATTTGTTCATCCCACTATCCCTTGTGCTCCGCCATACACGGCCCCGTTAAGAAGATAGCCATGAACGAGACCATTAAAGGCACTGTTAACGAAAAAGTGTTTCGGAGATTTGCACATGGTTTGAATTCGAAGCCACCTCTGGTACCATTTGTGCAGGAATAAGGTCGGAAAACGGCTGGATAGGGCACAATAACGGGCCGGAGAGATATCCACGGTCGCCCTCCGTCCCTCCATCGGTGTCACGTTAGACGAGTGTCGAGTCAATATGGATTGCTATTATTCGTTCTTCCAGCTAACCGCCAGTGATGAGGCGATGTTTTTCTCCCACTCTTTTTTCCTCTGTTTTTCTTTTTGCTGCCGCGATCCCTTATTTAATTTCCTACTCCTAGAGGCTGAAAAAGGTGAGCTACTTTTGCTGTTACTAAGGTTTTTTTGTTTATTCATGCTTATAAGTGAATGAATTGTGAATTACCATTGTCTGTTATTCGCACCAGGACCCACATGCGCGCAGTGAAACGCAGTGTTTAGCTCGTCCGGGCGCCCCACCTTCTTCATTTTTCTGGTTTCATTCACGTCCAGCCCCCTTTTTAACGTTTTTTCGAGGCCCTTTTTCACTGCGAAAACACCGATGCACGCAGTTTCTTCACCTCAGTCGCACTAGTTTCGATCGATTTCGTTGTCTTTCGTTTTTCATTGTAATCTGGATTACCCAAAATCATGTTAACGGTGCCTTTAAGGCTATGAAAGTGATGAAATCAGGCGAGGCAACTGGCCATGCTTAGCTTAGCGGTGGACTTGTGGAAATCACGGTCAGAGAGCTGCAATCCTGCAGAGTGATTGACGGATGTAAAGAAGGCGCGTGAGAGCTGGCAACAGAGCACAGCACGATTTTAATCTGGAAGAAGAAGGGCAGTTCTGGGGTTCGCCCACTCTCGCACAACATGAAAATCTTTGAACAAATTGTAGACAGCAGTGTCCGTGACATCGTCAAGCAGACCACCAACCAGTAGGTATTATGGCTGGTTGAAGAACGTCGATGCCATACATGCCGCTTGCCGCTTTCTACCAGAAAAGCGTTGCGAGGGTAAAGACGTTACTTCCCTAGAAACCGGTTCATAGGACGCTTTTTTATACCGCCGACGTGATGATCGCCGGCGAAGGCCAAAGCACGCTCGACCAACAGGTTCAGACCTAGTCCGACCGTCTGGCTATTTTCGAGGTCAGGGTAATCGTCAAAAGGTCTGGGTACTTGAAGAACGATCCGAATGAACCACGCTTTATCGAGATCGTTAGCTGAGCTCAGAGACAACAGCAATAGTATCTTGTATCGGCAATCGCGTCGGACGGCAGCTTTGAAACGAATTTCCATGAATACAGCGCGGTTAAAAAGGCGTTCGATGGCTGTCAATTTTTGCGATAAGGATATACCTGAACGTATCGAGTCTAAGATCTGTAAACCCGTCATCCGGCCGGTGGCAATGTAGGCGCTGAGTGCTGGCGTGCGACCAGAGAAGTTGAAGCAGGTCTCAGTGTGTTGGAGACCAAGATGCTCCGCTGGACAGCTGGAGTAATATGAATAAACCACATATGTAGTGATGTCACCACGGAGAGATTGGTTGAAGCGCCGATTGTCGATAATATGCGCGACGCCCGTCTCCGATGGTATGGTCATGTTCTTGGCGTCAACGATGACAGTGTCCTAAGATCGGTCTCAACATTAACGTGCCTAGCAAGCGCCCAGAAGACAACTGAAACAGCGATGGCTCGATATGTTGCACGAAGATCTGAAATTGGCTAACATCCACCCCTATCATGCGTTCAATCGGGAAAAGTTCCGTCAACATATTAGAAAACGGACTCCGTCTACAAGAGGACAGACGCTCGAGACGCTAAATAATAATAATAATAGGAAGAAGGAGAAAAAGAAAAAGAAGCCGCGTATTAAGTGCATTGTGGCCTATACAACGACCTGCGGTGGCCAACAGACGTATAGGCCAACACTTTTATCTTCTCAGACAGGCTCGGCACCAACTGACCGACCCGGAAGGGATGAAAGGCTCCGTTGGTCTGGGCTGATATCGATCCGGGATTCGAACCCATGACTATGACCATGTGACTGTGATAGTGCGCCACTTGTCAATAGAATGTTCAGCCCAAATCTAGCAATATAAATTTTATTTGTGAATTAACAGAAAGCAGCTCACGGTGATAGTTTGGAAGAGAAGTATCACCGGTATCAGCTGTCGGGCACCAGTAACGCAGTAACGTCTCCATTCGTTCCTGTCACGAGCCAGCGTAGACCACTGAATCGTTCTCGCTTCAGGGGCCCGAGGCTCAGCATTCCTTTCGTTCAGAGCTTTCATGAAGAAGTCCGACCATCGCGTTGGCGGCTGCCCTGGTGCTCGCATGATGTCCCGCGGGATCCAGTCAGCCAGAGTGGTCCAACGGTTACCAAGACACTGCATAACGTGTCCAGCCTACCTGATCCTCGATTTCTTGGCGTAACCAACGGCATCTCTAATCTTCGTTCGACGACGGAGCTCAAATTTACGAATTCCCTTCTGCCTTTGCGTTTATAGGGGAACTCCCCTCATCGTACTTTCCAAAGCGTGCTGATTAACGCTGACAGCATGCTCATACTGCTTTCGTGGAGTCCAAGTCTCTGAGGGGTGTGTCGAAGCAGGAAGGGCAGCACTGTCGAAAAGGTGAGCGAGGAGCCGAATGCTCTTTGTTCTCTTCATTACTTCCTCGATATTTTTAAATGCTTCCCTTACGGCGCGTTTCCTTCTGCTCAGTTCTGGAGCTAGATCGTTCATCATTTTGGCTTCCCGGCTTAGATACACATAGCTAGAGCATTCCGAGATATCCGCTCCGTTCAGCGTGAAAGGAGCATCAGGTACCAGTCCTTTTCTCATAAACATCGTCTTCGTTAAGTTCAGTCTCAAGCCAGTCTTTCCTTAAGCACTGTCAAACTTGGCCAGCATTCGTCCGCCTGCTTGATGTTCGGTATTATAAGCACGATGTCCTCTGCAAATTGTTGTAAAGCTCACGAAGCATCTCCTTCAGCATCAGGATTACAGCCTATGTCTCGACGGTGTCCTAGCTTTCTTCAAATCGATGGATGTAAGACTTTACGGCAATTTGGGCTCTCACGACGCTTCAATGAAACTTGTAAGAGCGAGGATATAATCGATTGTCGATTGTACCGAAGCTTCTCGGAATCCCTGCTTGCTCGGATGGCTGCCCTTCATCTAATATTCTGCCAATCCCGTTCAGGACGAGCGTGTTGAGAGCTTAGAGGCATATCGAATTTCGGAAGGGAGAACCAAAGGAGGATATTTCGTCTTGCCTAAGATGGTGGGTAGGCCCGTCAAAGAGATCCGACTAGAAGTCGTAGATGTCCTTCTCCACTGCCCTTCGAGATGCAGTAACTTTTCCGCCAGGACGACGAAGGGGGCTATCGTGGTATTGTCTGTAATTGACGAAGCTCCTTTGGGTTTTTCGAATGCTCTTTCCGGCTTCGGCGGCTTGATGCTGCTCAGTGCTCCATAACTGCTGCTCTTCTCTCTTTCAGATCTTCCTTTATCGCTCGCTTCCCTGCACAGCTTCGCAGGTTCGGACGTTCCTTGACGATTGCTGTAGCTAGCACGATTCCACGCTGGCGTATCAGCTCGAGTCTTCGAAAAGAATCGTCCCTTGGCCATCATGATGTTCGACCAACTGGTTGTATTCTTCATCGATGTTGTCGAAGCGGAATCTTCTCATTCACTCGCAAAGGAATCGAAGTCCTTCCAAATGATGGAGGTACTAGGCCTTCGTTTCCTGAACTTCATAGCTCTCTCCACCGACTGAGAAACAGAATCTGGGGCGGAGGAGACGATTGACCGGTCCCGTGTAGAACCTCAAAACAACATCGACATCAGTCAGGCAAAACCTCCGATTGAAATGATGTGGTCTATTTTGGTATGAGACTGTCCATAAGGTGACTCCCATGACCATCGCAAATGAGAGGGCTTCTGGAACTGCGAGTTACCATGGTTGATGTAGGTCGACATTATAAACTCGGACAAACTTCCACCCTGCTCAATCCATTCCATTCCGTGAGTCCCGATGTGGAGCTTTCCAGCCGACCTTCTGGGGGCAATCTTGCCGGTGACATCACCGACGATAACGTTGAATAAAATATGTTCTTCTCTGTAGAGCCTCTCCAGATCCATCAGATCCATATAAAACGCTTCGGATTCCTTTTCTTGGTAGCTTGATGTTGGTGCGTAGGCAACGAAGAATGTTAGAACTGGGGTCGAGCCACATTTCTTAATCGCAAATGTCCGATTCGGATTGTCACGTTTTCGTACGAATTGATGTTCATGGCCAAGTGTATGTTGACGGGGACACCCTCGCCGCTGACGCCTCTGCTGTCGCATGTTACAAGAAACAGTTCTTCTCTCGGATACAACGTGCAGCAGGCGATGCCTCTCGTCATGGTCAGTCCGATGACGTCGTACTTGAGCTTCCCAGCTTGCATCATCTGCTCTTCTATAGACACTTTCGAGGCAGGCGTCCGTGCGTTGAAAGTACAGATTGCCATCTTAACCCTTTTGCCTGCTATGACTCTGAGATTTTAGCAGCTTCTCCCGAGCGGTCCTATCCAACGCTGCTGTATTGGAGACTCCCTTAGGTTCAGGAGAATGAGGACCATTCATATTACTGTTCTTGGCTGATGGGAAGAGAAGTGTATCTAGGTAAAACCCACTGCAAGGCGAAAGCTAAATGGCAGTTTTGACAAGAACCTTTTCTACTACATGTACAGCTGAAGGGGTGGCCACTATGCTCAGATTTTCTAAAAGTATGTTAAAAGCTCATGATATCACAATTTCACAGAACTTGACGTTTCCTTCCCTCTAACAGATTATCGCATGGGCACTCTTGAGCGACAGGTTCCCCTCACCTCTCGCTCTTCAATCATCAGAATGTACGTTTGACTTCGTTCCAAACACAACGCGTTAACATCCACTGTCATTTCACCGAGCATGTTCACGATGTTTGGATAGATCATCATGGGATCTGAACGGAATCAATCACTCAAGGTTCCAAAAATTAGCTAAGCTGCATTCTGCCATCAATCGCTTGTACATCGCATTCATTGTATCTACCTTATCGACCTCAGAAAAAACCTCTTGTAAGTACTCACACGTCCCTCCCGTTTTGTTGCTGCAACCAGCTGGTCGGACGACGTCGTCCACTCGGAACATATAGCGGCCGCGAACGACATGGGGAACGCCGGATCGCTGTGCCAACACCTGAATTTCAGAATCAGAATTTCATCTCATCAGCCTTTTCTTAAAAATTTTTGAACAATTATATTCGATCTGCAAAAGCCAGAATACAGTAGTTCCCAGTGAGATGCTCACGGCTGCCTCGCCTTTCTTTGAAGACACAGTTCACGATGGAAACGATATTTGAGATTCCTCTTCAAGATGAACCTGTGTCCCCTTGAGAAGCACAAGCAACGCTGCGGAGTAGAAAAACGGCCCGGATAGGGCGTAATAATGGCTCCAAACTGGCTGAGCTAACAAATGGGGGGACGGTTACCTCGTGCGTCCGAACATGCTCGCGGCAAATTGCGCGGCGAAGCTCGTAACGCTTTGAACGACTTCAGCGCGTATCATTGGGGCCCAAATTCGAAGCAGAGTAGATTTGACCCTCCCAAACTGTTCTACTTTGAGCTTATGCCCTAAAAATTGGCGTCAGGGCCGTGCAAATCGTCACGAGCTTCGCCGCGCAATTTGCCGCGCGCGTTCTCGGACGCCGAGGTGGCACATACCCGTTTGCTGGAGGCTGTAAAGGTAGCATCATCTGCAGCGAGAAACAATCATTGCACAGGGGCACCTCACGGTAACAGGCAGTATGCAAAGACACAAACACATTTGAACAGCCCGTCCGAATACGCCTTCCACGCGAATTTTATCGTACCATTCTCATCCAACCCTGACTTTACTATATTTTTGAAGTCTCATATTTCTCAAATATGCCTCTTTTCGCGTTTCCTTCTCACGTTTGCACTAATCTGGACTTTCTTTCCCATCACATGTATAAAAGTAGATACTTCAAAATTATCAAGAGCCGTGCATTGAGACGCATAGTTCAGGACACTTTTGATTAGCCTTATTCAAATCAGGAACGGAAGTGTTGGAGGAAAATAGTACATCATAGGCCACGAAGTGAGAAAAATCGTAGAAGTGGTAAACATGAGGCTTCTCAAGAGTAGTGAAAATAGGGGGGGGGGGGGGTTTCAAGGGGNGATTCAAGGGGACAAGCCATAACGAAACTGGCACGGAAACTGTATTTGGATTGAGTGGTATGCAGCTGTATACAGCCAACTACGGTGGCCGAATATTGCCTTCCCCCGTCGCCGTGAGTACGACTGTTTGTATGAATATCCAACACGTGTGCTCCATTGTGTACTGTGCAGACCAATCAACGTCGTCGAAACACATCCGCCTCTAACAATAAGTGTGGACGTCGACGAACGAAGCCTTTTTGCGAGCCCTCACTGAGCCCCATTCAGGCCGCTTTCGACCTCACAACCATAATTTAAGATAAAGTTGTCGGTAGCAGTAGAGATGTTGGTCCTATCTGAGGAACCACACTTAGGACAAAAACATTCTAACTGCGAAAGGTCTAAGGTCTCTGAAGCCGCACGGCAGTAGAACTGAGTGATTCCAGACATCAAATGTCGAACTGCTTTATATTTTCTCGTTCCAACTTATAAAGTGGACGCTGTGAGGGGGCGATTTGGGCTGTGATCGTGCGCGCTCTAACCCAGACCAAAAAAGCAGCCTCCTACTTGCTTGGAAATGAACTGAATTCTTACCTTGGGTGTGTTTTTGTAGGCCTGCGTTGGGTCCACTTCCACAACTCCGGTATGGTTCCCGCCATTGAACAATGCCTGAATAATATGACCAACATAGCCATTATAGAATACTACCAGTCGGTTCGCCCGGTC